TGATATGACGGTTTATTATATGAGAAATAAGGATTATTTCATTATATGGTACTGATCACTCTCATTTACTTCATTTTAATTTTTTTTCATTTCCTAGTTAATTAAATGTCATAAATGACTTTGAAGGGAGTATTTTTCAGGTTTGGTAGCTCTCTTTTCGCTTTCCAAAACCACAATAATTCTCGCACGGTACAATAAAGAGCAGAGACTTGAGAAGGAGGGCATTTGGTGCCACCTATTTAGGCTTGATTGTTGGAGGCATGGACCATGCTTTTTGATTTATTGGCTCATTGATGATTAAATGCATTCGACAATGAGTTTTCCCCTTTTTGAATTAAAGTTAAACTATAGTGGCTTGCTTGTAAATAGTTGCATTCTCTTTAACTAAAATATGACTTGTTTAAGTTTTTTGAATAAAGTTAGCCCACAAGTCTCAACTCCCCCGTAAGCATCTCATTCTCTGTCATTAGCAGCAAACATGAAAAATTCTTAAATTAACATTTAATTTTGACCAGGATGTTGTAATTGAACTTTCTCTATTTGTAAGAGGGGGCGAGGAATTCAAAATTTACACTAACTTAAATATAATAACACACTGTTTACATATATATATATATATATATATATATATATATATATATATATATATATATATATATATATATATAATAACACACTAATTAATCAAATGTACTATAAGACAAAGGTTTGATTAATGTGGGGGAATCACCCTTCCTAACCCCACCACTGCACATTGTCTTTGTGACAAAGAGAGACAGAGATAATTGACTTTGGCTTGGAAGGTCAAGAGTCTAAGAGTGTGTTTGGGAGTTTGAAAGAGTAGAAAAGGAAAGGATCCAAAGAGGAGGGAGGGAAAAAAAAGAAAGAAAACAAAGGACATTTCCCTTGTTTTGGAATAAAAAAATATGATAAAATAGAAAAATAGAGAATTAACTAGATGTTTTTATAATTTTATAGTTTTTTTAATTTTCTATTATTCTATTTTATCTTTTTTTTTTTAAAACTAATATAATTATTATATTTTATAAATAAAATAAAAATTAAATTTTTTTAAAAAATTATTTATGCAATTTTCATTTTTTAAAAAATGATTCTCTCTCTAAAAATTATTTTTTTTCTCTAAATCAAATGAGAAAATAAAAAAATTTGAAAAATAGAGTAAGGGCACGTAAATAATTTACTATCCAAATTGAGAAAGATATTGGAGGATTTTACTATTCTCTTCTCTCAATTTTTAAAACTCACACGAAGTAGCCATAAGCAAAATTTTCTCCTTCCTTCCTTTTCCCTTTTACTATTAACTCCCAAACACATCCTAAAGAGGGGAGAACCTTGTCAATCAAATGGACAAACTCATTCGTTATTTACTCCCAAAACCAAGAAAATAATGAACCCTTTCCTACCATAGTATTATCATGTCTGAATTATTCACCGTTGTTTTGAGAAAAATACTGAATGAAAAAAAAAAACTTATAAAGATTGCATTATGTATTCATGTGTACATGGCAGTCGTTGATACCCATGTCAACTTTGTCAAGATTGCCTGCAAAACGAATTTAATTTGAAAATTTAAGCAAGACAGGTTGAAAATGTATTATGAGGAACAATGATGATGCCGTGGGGTATATGTTCTTAAGTGGTTATGCATGCAGTCATCATAAGCCTTGCCCTTCATTCAACGTTGGACCATTTTACAGTATCAAATTATCAATGAACCAGGGATTCAGCATGCCCACAAATCAACAGACAACCTTACTTCATAGGAAAGCTAGTTTTCTTAAGCAAGCAAATTGTTATAATATATCACTAAGAGGGCGTTTGGTTGAGAAGAAAATTTTTGAATATTAGGAAAATGTAATTAATAGATAAATGATTGGAAAGTGAGTTTGGTAGGAAAATGTAAAAAAAATTGTTTGGTTGGAAAAAAAATTTACCGAGCAAATTAGGTAAGATTTATAAAGTCTATGTTTGGTTTGAGGTAAAATATAAATGGGAAAATAAGTGGCAATTACAAAAATATCTCTATTTTTTAAAAAATTTGATTCCAGAATATGAAGTCTATGATTCTCTCTATAAAAAAGGTCAGGTACAATGTTTGGTTCCAGAATTTAATGCAAGAAGAGCATTCTCATTTTCTTCAAATTGAATAGAGCATTCTCATTTTCTTCAAATTGAATCCACCGTGCAAAAGTTGTTCTCTTCATGCCACTGTACCAACATACTATTAGATGAGATGAAACCAGACTTGGTTGCATGTATGATGATGAGGGTATTATGGTCTGATGTCATTTGCCCAATCTTTCATTTCTCTGGCTAAGTTTGAAACACCACGTACAATTTGTCTTTCGTAATAGTGAATTTGCCTTGTTTTCTAATACACAAAGCTGAAAGCTATGCAAATGTAATTGATGGGGAAAGTGAAAGAAACCGTCCACAAAACATGGGTCTTTAAGTTAGCCACTTTCACTTGCATAGGCATATTTTTAGATACCCCAACCAAACACCACTAAAGCTTTCCTGTTCTAATGCCATAGAAGCACCATGTCACATTGTCTATCTCTTTTCTTTATTTCTCTTTTTGGGGTCCCTGAGATTATGGAGCAAGCAACTTCCCTCTTTATAGTCTTTTCCGTATTCCTAACTACCATACTCGAGCATATGAAGTACCAACAACCACAGCATCATATTTGACTACTTGTGATAAAATGAGAAAGTGGGGCCATAGAATCTGTAATGGAAGCAAAGGGAGGGAAGGTATTTGAGTTGATAGGGGCAAGAAGCATTAAACCTCCCACCCTTCCAGCATCCATACGAAGGTATATTATCAGAAACGCGGAAGCGCATCGTACCGATGTGATGAGGAATGAAGAACACCTCTTTGATTACCTGAGATGAAGTAGCGAGCGTGACAATTTCTGACGTTCTGTTCTCCTCCTCAAGCCTCACGATCTGCAGCAACGCACCACGAATGGTCACAATTCTGCTCTACGGTTGATCTTCCAGGCTATGACTCAAGGGAGATCAGGTGGTCGTGTGGGCAACCGTTCAGATGATGAACGTCTGCCTCTTTGTGTTTCTGATGTCTGTAACCCTTGGAGGCACAAGGGATAAAAGAGTGTTTATATACCCTGCCCAATCCAAAACTAACCCTAAGTTTCATGGGTTAATATTGGATTTTGGGCTCACTCTCACTAAAGTTATTGGGCTAAGTGAAAAGAGCATACTAAACCCAACACGATATTCATGTCTTCATGCCAGGACTGATTAATAGGGATTATGTTAATTGACAAGAGTGTTGAACTACTAATCAATATTAACTTTATTTAAACAAACCGTTGAAACAATCATAGCATTTCATCCCTTCAAGGCATCAAACAGGAACAGTGCAACCTGGTTATGCCAGTCAGCAATACCGCAATAGAGTTAGCACTCGGAGTTAGCTATAAATTATGATTATTTTAATGGCTTTATTTTTACAATATTTAAGTTGAAGGCTGGATATAAGTGCATGGTAATGGGCCAAATGAGTACCAAACAGCCCAATAAGGTAAAAGAGAGAGAAAGAGATAATTTGATAATTTACTATTCTCTTTTACTATTTTTACTGCAGTTAGAGAGCCATATGATCAACTCTTTGAAAGTGAGATCAAATCTGAACCATTGAATGGACAAAAATATGGATGGACAGCAATGCAATTTCTTGGAGCTCTTTAGTTTCTAGCTAAATAGGAGTCTGAGTCATGAGGGCCACATATAGAGAACTTTCGTTTTTTTTTTAGTTTTCAGTTTTATGTTTTGAATCTTTTGTAATCTTTTTCTTTGAATCTGAGTGTTGAGAAATTCCTTGAAAGCTGAATGCTTGTTCTTCAATTCTTGTACTCGAAGTGCATTGACAACGCAACTTCAAGAAAAGGAACCACGGATCTGCATACGAGCTCCGGTTTTCCCATTTCTGATCTTTTTCTTCCTAGCTCTAGTTTAGGAACTTTGACTCTTGAAGAACCGGTTTGTAACTTTACTTTGAGTTTTCTTTCATTTTCTTTTTGTGATGCATGTTTCTTACTTTTAGATTTGTAATATTTTTGAATATGGGTTTCTGATCTTTTCTCTTTCTGGGATTCACGATGATTGGGTGATCTTTTACTTTTCTGAATACTGTGATGGTTTGCTTTAGTTTCATTTGATTAACAAGATTTTGATTTTAAGTTCAAGAACACCATGGGAATGGGTCTTGAATAATTTTAGCATAGCTATGATTGGGAAATCAGGTTATGTCCCTTGTTAATTGAACCCTTGAGGTTAGGGATAACCCAAGGAGGTCTTTGATACAATTTTTAAAGATTTAGAAGACTTTGGGAAAAGATCCTTCTAAAGATTAAAATCTGGAACTGGGAAGTTTCAGATAAAATAGCCATAGTAATTCGAATTCTGATACTAAAGTGCCGTAGCAGTTATAAAACGCAGGAATGCGAAATTTCTCCTTCATCCATGATTCAAAGAATTCCAGAACCTTATAATTGATACATTTGTGAATAGATATCCCTCTGTAAAATTTTGTTTAATGCAAGTTTGATAAATATCTTGTTTCATTTAGAATTTTCTTAGTTTTAAAAGATTGATTACTTAATTTCAAGAAATTAGAAATTGGAATTAAAAAGGAAAACTAAACAACCTGTTCCCTGAGAACGATAACTCTCTTTCTTTTGAGAAAGATATTACCCAACAAAATGGCGCCGTTGCCGGGGAACGGTGTTTGATTTAGTTTCTTTTTAAAATTCTGTCTTTTAGTTCTTGAATTGGTTCTCTTTCATTTTCATTTTTAATTTTTCTTGAACTTACATTTTCCTTGTAGATTTTGCAGATCAATAATTTTTTACTATGAAAACAGATTGATACACTTAGCATTCTGCCAAATCTAAAAAAAAAAAAAAAAAAAAAAAAAAAAGTTTGGTTGTTAAACACTCTACAGGGGGATCACAATGGCATTGGCAGCTCAACTCGCAGCTTTGCATAACACAATAAAGGATTTTGTCATGGTTATGGAAGAATCCAAGCAACCAGCCCCAGCTCCAATAGTTGCTACAACACCTATATGCTCACTTTGCTATGGTGCTCATCTATTTGAAGAATGCCCCAACAACCTAACATCGGTTCTTTATATGGGAGGCTTCAACTACAATTACAACAACCACAACCAATTTGATCAGCAGGGATGGCTGAACCAAGGATGTAATTTTTCCCAAAATCAAGGCCAAAGTTACCAATACCAGCAGCCTTATCATGGATGGCAGCAGTCATTTGAACCGGATGAACCTTACTTACCTTGTTTTGTGCAGTCTTCTTTTGTTGAACAGCTAGAGCAACATGTTGCAGAAGCTCAACCTCCAAATGAGCAGTGGATGAATCAAATGCTAGAAAATCATGAAGTTATGCTTCAAGGTCATGGAGCTATCTTGAAGAGCCTTGAGATACAAATGGGGCAGATTGCTTCTGCCCTTAGTAGTAGACCTTTGGAGACACTACCAAGTGACACAGAAATACCTAAAAGGGATGGAAAAGAAGTGTGCAAAGCCCTCAACTTGAGGAATGGACAGCAAGTGGATAACTTTGTTACAGCCCAACCATCAACCACTCAATCCTCACCTCAAGACAAAGATGATGAAGAGGAAAACATTGTTGAACCAGTAAGGGCAGCAATGAAATCAAATGAATTAGACAAGCCTATGCACAATATTGAGGCTCATCAACCTATATCAAAGGCAAGACAGATCCCTTCTCCTCAAAGACTCCAAGAGCAGCAACAGGAGCACTGTCTCTCCAACAATTTGTCAGCCAAGCTGGAAAATCCAGGTTCTTTTACAATAACTCCTCAAATAGCTGATAGGTCACTTGCACACCATGATGGAAAAATAGAGAACAAATCAGTGAAAGTTTATAGGTTTATTTTTCCAGCAAATTTCATAATAGTTGATTTTGAAGCTGACAAGGATATGCCTATTATATTGAATAGGCCATTCTTAGTTATGGAGAATGCTATAATTGATTTTAAAACAGGAGAACTAACCATGGGAGTTAATGAGGGAAAGATAACTTTTAATGTTTTAGAAGCCAAGAATTTCATTGATGAAGATTCTAATGATTGTTCTGCTATTTCTGTTTGGGGTCATCTGGTTAATGATAATGTGTTTTTAAATAGTAAAAATACTAACTTAGGAGAAGGCAACTTCAATCATATAGAGTCTAAACCAGACAACCCACTCTTGAAAGATTTGATTCAAAAGAAAATAATCAATTGGTTGGATACAGGGCAGATTGTTCTAATTTTCAAGATAAGAATCAAATTGTTTCCAATCAAGTTTAGATGGCTGAAGCATTACTGGACAAGGCATGTGAATAAAGAGAAGATTTTCATTTCTTTATTAGATGCTGGATGAAACACCAAAAATAAAAAAATAAAAAGTGTAGTTGATTAGTTAGTTAGTGTAATTGTGGCTGTTGTAGCTTAGGTTAGTTTAGTGTGTGTAACTGTTGATATGTTTAGTTTTAAATTTATGAGTAATTTTCAACTTGTTGTGGTGTACATGCTACGTAGGAGTCTAATATTTTTTCTACTGGCATATGTTAGTGTTGTCTTCTTAAAACCAATGAGAATTGTTCTGTGAAATAAAAAAAGAGGGAGTTGACTGACGAGTTAAAATGGTCCAGAATTGCTATGAGTGACTTTGAGAGTGTGCAAATCACTAAGTTTGGGGTAAGTGTGAGCTACCTCTGTTAATTTTTTATTTTATTTTTTTCAGTTCTTGGCCCAGTAAATTGCACGTGCCTTGATAAAAAAATTTGTGCACTAAGTGCTGACTTTTGAAAAAGGGATAGTTTAGCTGAGAGGGTGTCATAAGTTTTGTTAATGTTTGTTCTGTTTACCGTCCATATAAAAATAAATTATATATGTATAATAGAGTGACTATCGTCACACACTGTGTTAGTAATTATATTTTTAATTTAATTTAATTTATTTTATTTTATATTTTATATTTTATTTTTATCTGAAGGTTAACATAATTATTTTACAGTGAGGAAGAATTTTTGGGTAGGAAGTAGAAGTGTTGAATAGCGGGATCTTTTAACTTGATGAGCCCAAATTTTTTTTTTTTACGGTGAATAAAAGTGCTTGTGCATTGAGTTTCTATCAATTAGGCCCAAATAAAATAAAACACTACAACCATTGAATGAAATAAATTGGGCCATGCTTATTCTACCAGCCCAATTATATTCAATCAATTCTATTTTTACCTAATTTATTAATTTATTTTAAATCTGATAATGTCAGAAATTTTATTATTAATTTTATTTATTTATTTATTTTTCTTCCCTTCCTCAAATCATCTTCTTCTTGACCAATGAGCTGCACACAATTGGATTTTTTTTACTAGTTTCAATCATTAAATTAGCTGAATAGAGATTGCAGAAGCTGATCCCAACCATTAATGCACCTCTGAGAAATTGAACAGCAGGTAGTAAAAAGGGGACTGCTCATAGAGTGGCGATATGACTTATCCTGCTTTAGTCATATCTCATTTACTTTTTATTGACCAAATAAAGGGCTTGCTCTTTTACTATTATTTTTTTCTTTTAGCTTCTCTTTTTAAAAATAATTCATTTCCCCTCGTAGTCTCACACAACGCTCAGCAAAGCAATTTTCAAAGCTAATCTCTTTTTCATCATCGTCTCGCTCAGAACCCTAGTTTATATTTTCCTTTCTCTTCTCTTGCCATCTAATCCCTGTGCACCGAAGCTATTTTCTTGTTTTATAGCTTCGAACTCTACCAGTAAGCTGATCTCCCTCCTCGCCGCTGTTCTGGTCTGAAAACTAGTCAAGCTTGGTTCGCTTATTTCATACTTAATCTCACCGGAGAACCAATCAACTCAACGCGGTCGAAGAACCACCGTCAGGCTTCGTTTTCGTCTTGCCCTCAGTCCACACATTTTGGGGTTCACCACTAGTAGAGTTTGAGCGTGTATCAGGTTTGATTTATGAATTTTATATTTTATTTACTTATTTATTTTTATTTTTTATTTTGCAACCCTCATCTTTCTCTCACCACTACCCTCGCCATACCCATGTATCGTTTGGTGTTCTTGAAATTAGGCTAGGGTTTTGATTTGAGAAGTTGGGGATAGTTAATTTTAATTTATTTTATTTACTTATTTATTTATTCTTTGTTTTTTTTTTTTTTTCGCACATTCAAATCCCTTGGCTGTATGTTATTATTGGGTGGCTAAGGCTATTCCATTATGTTGTAGTCCATCTTAAGGAATGTGCATATATTTGTGAAGATATATATCATGCTGTACAATTGATTTTAGAAGAAGTATTTTCTGTTGTTATCTCAGGCTTTGAATCAAAGGACGACCATTTACTATTGGCACATGAAAAATTTTGTGTTCTGCCAATCATATAAAGCAAGGAAAATGGACTTTTCTTCAGATGGACTTTCTATAATTTTCCGTCTAGCTTTTATTGGCAATTCTTGGTTTTAATATTATTTGAAATTCTGTACTAGGAGTTTTTTTTATTTTTATTTTTTTTTTTATTTTTATTTTTTTTTTAATGGGTGTGGATAATATGGGTTGAATTGTCTCTGGTCCTCTGTTCAGTTTATTTTACTGAAGTCCAACCTATGGCGTGCTCAATTATTGAAGGTCTATTGGCTATTATATATATGTAACAAATCCTTAATAGATTTCAACTACTGGCTGGAACTAAAATAACATGCTAATTAGAATAATCTTTAATTTAGAATAATTCTCTCAAAAATGGTTGGCACTTCTGTAAGTAATGTTATTGCTTCCCTGTACTAGCCTATAGTTTATAATTTTGGGCTTACTATACTGATTCTCAGTTAGTATTTTGTGGGCAATTACTGATATAATTCCTAGAATTACACTGTCATAACACTGTAATTATTTTCTTTGCTGACATTTATGGGTACTCATTTGTTGACAAATTTACCTTTATGTTTCTTTTATTCACTAA